ACTAAAGTTTTAGGAATGAGGATCTCTGTTGTACCCATATACCATATATTATAGAAGTTTTTTTTTTCTTTTAGAAAGCAGAATGTCTTATAATGTATTCTAAGGGACGACTGTGAGGACCAAAGTGAAGGATTTAATTGTAGAAAACAGTGTACTCCATGAAAGCTGTGGGATTACAAATTTAAGAGTCTGTCTTAGATCTACTGATCCTATGTCCTGACATACAATCACCTGAAAAAAGATGAAATACACTGTAAGATGATGACATCAGATCAATGATTCTGTTAAACAAAGTTTGTAGCAAGATGTTCCTGCTAGTTCCTGTTCTTTTATTCACTCTTAAAAATAAAGGTGCTTCACGATGCCATAGAAGAACCTTTTTGTCTAAATGGTTCCATAAAGAACCTGAACCTTTCTGTTTCACAAAAGGTTCTTTGTGGCGAAAGAAGGTTCTTCAGATTATAAAAAGGTAAGAAAGAAGAGATGGTTCTTTAACCTTTGTGCGTCTCTCAGGTAATTTTGACCCAAAACTAAAAATTGTGTGTTGATCGTTATGGTTCAAGGCTTTTTTACTTTTGTCACTTGCACTGAGAATACACACACACACACACACACACACAAAATAAAAGAAAATTGAGTGGATTCGAGTTTATGTGGGTGCAATAAAAGAAAGTAACAAAAGTGTCCCTCGCGGGTCATTTTGACCCCCATTGGAATGAATGGAAATATGGAAAAACTGTTTTTTTTTTATTATATTTGATTTTTTTTAAACATACAAAATCTGGCACAATCCAGTAAAGATTTATACCCAAATGAAGGGCTGAGACTACAGAATTTCCCACTCACACACACGCAAACACACACATGGTACACACACTCCCATAGAAACACATTATAACATGTTTGATGTTTCTGCTGGGAAATGACTGTCATTTTGCAATTATTTTGACTTAAAACAGTTAAATTTGAGTAATGTGGTGGAGTCCAATGAGTTTATATCATAGTTAGTTTTAGCAAATGGCTGCAATATAACAAAGAGTGAAAAATTTAAGGGGGTCTGAATACTTTCCGTACCCACTGTATATTATATATTTATTGCATATTTATGAACTTGTATGAATATTCATATGTTTAGGCTATAATTCAGTTTGAATTTAAAAACATTTTCAGGAAATAGGCTGTAGGTTTTTTTTTAATGTCTCAATATATATTTGAATGTTATCAACCAATCTGAAGCCTTAAGTTGTCCATATTTTCAATGTTTCACATGTTTGGCTCAGTTAAGAATCTCCATAGGATGCTATAGGCCCCTTTAGTGGCAGTAACCATAAAATGCAGTTTTAATACTTTTTTCCCCACCAGATGATGTCAGAAACACTCAGTGACCCCTTTCTAAGTGCATCTGCATAAAAATAGACTGGAATTGTGTATTTTTTTTGCTGAAATACTGTGAAAAAATTGCTTATTTGCTAATGTTTGCTTAGAAATGTCCAGAATTTAAGGTAGATAAAATGAAAATCACCAAAAAATAATAAAAAAAACCCTACATAAATAATTAGAAAAAAAATATATAAAAATGGATCAAAATGAGCTTTCTGGACTAAAATAAAAAGTCGTGTCATTTTGACCCACGAGGGACACTTTTGTTACAGGTACGGGAAGGATGCACGAAGGTTAAAGAACTTTTGACTGAATGGCTCTTTGTAGAACCAAAAATGGCCAGTCTTTGAGTAGTTATGCTGATTGGATTAGGACTGGTGAAATGGGGCAGGTTGCTATATCTAAATACTTCATTTGCATGCTTTGTCTAAGGTCGTTACCCAGGTGCTTTGTCTCCATTCCTAAGCACTGCCCCTTATAAACTACAATGTATCACATTCACTGCCTAATTAGACTTTTGATTACTGCAGCGCCACGCAGCGCGTTCTCAATAAAGAATCCTGCTGAACATACCCAAGAGTCTCCTGGTCTTTGCTTCTGAGTTTCCAACAAAACAGTTGCATCTCATTGAAAATATAAACCCAATCTTTAGTATCAGTCATAATCAGTCACGAAACAAACAAGAGCTGGTAGCAGTCTGCACATAATCCACACAAACCAATCATTTGTCCTTGGAAGACCTGAAGACTTGAAATGCACCTATAACAAAACATTCTTTTATTATAATAAAAGAATAAAACAAATTCTATTAAAAAAAAATGCATTACATTTATAAAAAAAAATATAGCCTATAGTGAAAATACCCAGCAATTGTACTTTTCGTAGCCTAAACTGATAAACTGATATAAAGTGTGCTAAATTGGACGTAGTGCTGAGGTCCAACTAAAGATGAACTGAAGTGTATTTGATTGTGCTAAAGTGGAACTATTTCAAGTATACTTCAGGTACACTTTAAATATCTTGCTTTAAAGACATTTATTATTCAAGGATCATACAACCCTCATCATTAGTGACATTAAAACCCATTTTAGGCTTAATATTAAGTAAAGTTTAAATTAGAATGCTTATATCAGTAAGTCTCGAGTGATGCAGTAAATATGTTAAAAGATTAGTCTGAAATAAATGTAGGTGATTTTAAATATATTACTTTTTACTTGGGTAAATTTCTACATATGCCATATGTCATGCCATTGCATCATTAAACGAATATCTAACAATGGATAAAAGTGTTTTAGTTTTTTTTGCCCTCACTCTCTGACTCCATAAAGGCTGCTGTGTAATTTGCCCCCAGACTAAACATTTAAATGATCCTGTGAATGCACTTAAAGAATGCAGAATCAAATCGTTAATTGAATTGCATCGAATTTAATTGTGAATATTCTCAAATCGAATCGTTCTGAATGTGTGAAAATTCGAATCGATTCGCTGTTTACCCAAAGATTCACAGCCATCAAGCGTAGCGTTAGTTCTGGCAGGTCACGTTAGTCAAGCTCGCATCAGCTGACTCTCAGCTGATCCCCATCAACCTATGGGAATA